TATCTGGAAAAGGGGATCATCGTAGTGTCTCTTCCGTCCGTTTGCTGTACTGTGGTGGCTCCTGGGGTGCTGGTATTTCAGATGCAGCAGGGTCCCCCTTGGTGGACAGGTTGCAGCAGACCGTCCACACTGCGACAGGGCCGGCAGAAGGGACAGCTTATGAAGGACGGTGGAACGTTGTCTGATGAGGCTCAGATTCAAGGACATTCTGTAGTGGGTCAGTGAACAAGGAGAAAGCCCCTCAGTGAGATGGAATGATACAGGGGCTACAGCAATGGGCCAACCATGGCCATGATTGTGAGGGTGATGCCCGCAGGACCAGGCAGTGTCTGGCTCTGTTGGACATTGGGTCACGATGTCCTGGAACTGCCCTGATCCCTAACAACAGTAAGCACTGTGCTAATGTCAATGTGAGGCTTCATTGAATTGACCTGTGTAAGTAGGTTTATAAAATTAGCATTTAGGTACAATTGAAACAGAAACTACAGTGCTTTGATTAGGACTCCCCTCCATAAGTTGTTAAGTCTATTCCAATTCACAGTCACCCCTTGTGTGTTAGAGTAGAACTGGGCCCCACAAGCTGTTTAGTGGCCGATCATAAGGCTCTTGCTCCAGGGAGCCTGTGGGTGAACTGGAAATGTGATCTAACTTCGAAGCTAAGTGCTGAACTGCCTGTCCAACCCAGAGGAGGCTCTCATTAGGACAGAGGGGTCCTAAAGAATGCTCTTTCTAGCTGTGTGTGGGGAGAGGTGCAGGGAATTGTGGGAAACTCTATCTGGTGTCACAGGTTTTAGCAATGGGAATGGAAGCAGAGGTGGGGGGAGGCGCTGGGACAGGGTGCAGCTGGGCAGGAAGGCATGGGGCCTCCTGGTGGGCTCCTTCCGCAGGAATCAGCTCTCAGCTGAGGAGTGGGATCCAGAGTGAGGACACGACTGACTGCCTTGAAGTAGTTTTATCAGAGAGGCAGGTGCCTCGATGGACGTTTCCTGGGACTGGACTCTGGAAGAGAATCCTCCCCAGTCAGTGTGTGCCACAGACACTTTCCCAAAGTACTGTTTTAAAGGCCCAAAACATATAAGATGATCAAGATTACAACCAGACATAAACACTAAAAAGAGCACATAGGTAATATGAGTGCGGATTATTTCCCTGTCAACTCAATAAAGAAGAGGCTCAACAGCTGTTGCGTAACTACTACTGTTTTGAAGCACAAATAAGTGTAAGCAAGATTTTGAAACATCTGCAGCAACTGTGCTGAAGCAACCACTGTGGCTGGTTGCTTCATTAAGCTCATACTGGAAGGGAATACGAAATGTTAGTAGGAGATTAGAAGAAATAACGATGACAATTGTGTCCCTCTCAGAAACTCATTGATTTAAACTGACAGCCCCTCAGGAAATGTGTTTTTTTTTAAATCATTTTATTGGGGGCTCATACAACTCTTATCACAATCCATACATACTTCACTTTTGTCAAGCACATTTGTACATTCGTTGCCCTCATCATTCTCAAAATATTTGCTCTCCACTTAAGCCCTTGGTATAGCTCCTCATTTTCCCCCTCCCTTCCCGATCCCCCCTGCCTCATGAACCCTTGATAATTTATAAATTATTATTTATTTTGTCATGTCTTACACTGTCCGACGTCTCCCTTCACCCACTTTTCTGTTGTCCGTCCCCCAGAGAGGAGGTTATATGTAGATCCTTGTAATCGGTTCCCCCTTTCTACCCTACCTTTCCTCCACCCTCCAGGTATCACCATTCTCACCACTGGTCCTGAAGGGATCATCCACCCTGGATTCCCTGTGTTACCGGTTCCTATCTGTACCAGTGTACATCCTCTGGTCTAGCTGGATTTGTAAGGTCAAATTGGGATCATGAGGGAGGAAGCATTCAAGAATTAGAGGAAAATTGTGTGTTTCATTGTTGCTACACTGCACCCCACGACCCTTCTGTAAAAGGGTGTCCCATTACCTACAGATGGGCTTTCGGTCCCCACTCTGCACTCCCCCTCATTTACAATGGTATGAATTTTTGTTCTTTGATGAAGAAATGTTTAAAAATGTGGACGGCAAGTGAGAAACATGGGTTATAAAATGGTGCAACTTGAGTGGATTCTATTTTTTACGCAAACAAGTGTCCTAAGATACAAAAGAGACCCCACTCTTTTGTCTTGTTTGAGAAGAACATTCATTAAGTCTGATGAGAGACATATCAGCCAGATGAAGGAGGCCATTAGCATGAGGTCAAAACAGTGCCCACGGAGGGCGGAGGAGGAGGGAGAAGGGGGACCGATCACAAGGATCGACATGTGACCCCCTCCCTGGGGGACGGACAACAGACAAGTGGGTGAAGGGAGACGTCAGACAGTGTAAGACATGACAAAAGAATAATAATTTATAAATTATCAAGGGTTCATGAGAGTGGGGGGGGGTGGCAGGGAGGGAGGGAAGGGAAAAGGAGGAGCTGATACCAAGGGCTCAAGTAGAAAGCAAATGTTTTGAGGATGATGGTAACAAATGTGCTTGACACAATGTGTGTATTTATGGATTGTGATAAGAGTTGTATGAGCCCCCAATAAAATGATTTTTTAAAAATGGTGTCCACAGGTTTGTTGGTACAAAGCTTTAAAAAGGGCATGGAGGGCAAAGGAAACTGTCACAAAAGCATGGTTGGTGACAGATCAATACATCACAATTATTGGTGGGACCGCAGAAACAGGAAAGGGACCATGACTGGGACATGTACACAGGTACGGGGCCGTCAGGCCAAGGACTCTTGACTATGAGATCCCCTCTTAAACCTCACTGCCATTGAGTCCATTCTGATCCTAGTGACCCTATAGGACAGGGTAGAACTGCCCCTGTGAATTTCCGAGACTGTCACTCTTACAGACTAATTTTTCTCTCACAGAGTGGCTGGTGGTTTTGAACTGCTGACTTTGTGGTTAGACTTCGTGGTTAGCAGTCTAACACGTATCCACCCCTTCTACTGTTCCCAATAGGTGATCTCTGTCAAGCACACACTTAGGCAAGCCTCTAAGAGAGACTGCCCCTTCCAGGACTGGCTTGAGCAGCTTGGAGGTACCCTACTTTCTAGGCACTCTGTGTTAGCGATCAGAAAGAATTCAGGAGAGGCTTCATCTATATGGGGACTGCATATGGATTTGAGGCTGTCCGTGCCATCCATAGCCCTTTGCAACCCAGGTGCTTAGAATTTAAGCTCTAATACAGAAGCAAACAAACAAAATAAACCACAGTATTGGGGTGTGTGTGTGTGTGTGTGTGTGTGTGTGTGTGTGTGTGTACAAAATACACCTTAAAAAAGGTAGGAAACATTTTGTTTTAAAAAGAAAGATACGGAAAAAGCATGGAAAAACCAACGCTCAGTGCTAGGGACCAAACCTTAATCTGGGGTTATTCTCGTCTCCCCACAGGATTGGGGAGCGTGCTCCCTGGGGCTGTCTCTTGACTCCACTTCTGGAAACTACTGAAGTCAGTTTCTCAGTTCAGTTCACACCAGGGGGCTTCATGCCCTGGGTTGAATTTCATCCCTTGTCTGCTGTATGACCTCAGGTCCGTTTCCATGCTGAGCTACCCTTTCCACAGGGTGCAGCTGGGTTTGCAGGCTCCACTCCCACTCCCACCTCCCATCCCCAGGCTCTCAGTTATTCACTGAGGCTTTATTCTACAGGCCCTTTATTCCTACAGTTCCACTGGAGGTACTTGGGAGCAGCTAAACACAGATGCAGAGACCGGGGACCATCAGGAAGTAGGGAAGGTGCTCTGCTCCTAGGGCGGGGGTGGGGGCGTGGGAGGAATATAGGGGTGGGGGAGGGCGTTCAGTAGACCTGAGTAGCCCAAAGGGATGGGTGTTTGGACGCTAGGCAATCTCAGTTTCAACCAAAGGCAATAATTTCATTGATCAGAATTGCTGGTAGTTAAGGAGAGGTTGCCCAGGCTAGCGATGGAGTGCTTACCATTCAGTAATGCACTCCTATTCTCCATCCTCTTCTACCCACAGAGAACAGGTAGCTAACACTTGTGGGCAGGCACCCCGCGTACCTGTATGTAGGAGAGACTTGTCAGAGCACCATGCCAGTCTTTCTTGATGCGCCAGAACGTTTGTTCCGCAAGTTGGCCGTTCCCAGTCCTGGAGTGTGGGGTGGATAGTGGCGACGACATTTAAATAGCTGGTACTTGGAAATTAAGTAAAAGCTTTAACAACTCCTCCAGCGACCGCGGCAGGACTCGAACCTGCAATCTTCTGATCCGAAGTCAGACGCCTTATCCATTAGGCCACGCGGCCGCCCAACGCCAGTAACTCTTTGCCCAACCTAGAAAGCATTGTTACCGCCCACCGGCTTGCTCTGGGTTAATCCACTTCCTTTCTGAACAGGGGAGGTTGGACCTTGGTTCCCCGCGTGCTGCAAGGAGGGCTCACCCGGAAGTCTCCTTCCCCCCCGCGGACGGATCGGTCCATTTGCGGCCTTACTATTGGCCTCGCCGGGAGGCTCCCGCCTGCGTCTCGGGGAGCCGCGGGACCTCGCTGGGTGCGGACGGGAAGTTGCGGCCGCCAGCTGGGAGCGCTGGTCGCGTGGAGGCCGCGCCGAGGGGACCCCGGGCCCCGGCCTGGGATCGGGAGAGCCGCCGCC